TAATATGCAAATGCTCTCTCTCTCAACAAGACACTGCTGTAGCTTATACTTATTGGCTGGAAGGGTTCAGCTAGTCTTGGATACGACGCTGTTGCACGATAGATGCGTCGGAGGCTAGAGCTAGTTGGCTAACAGTGGACGTGTTTGATCATAGACGTGGTCCATGAAGCAAAGGCAATGTGACCATGAGAATTACTTGGACTATTTAGCCTCAAGTTAGTCTCCCAGACACAGAGTGTGAAAAATAACGCCTCGACTAGCACAGATGGAGTGCCGTAGTTCGAGTGAAATACTTGAACCAGGGAAATAGCAATCGGATGTTGGATGGGCAAGCGGAGGAATCTGCTAAGACCTATGGGAGGAGGACTACTCAACAATATTGCAGACTATGACCAACATTGTGGCATGACTCTCTATTTCGAAGAGTTAGTTGTTTGGGAGGAATTCGTGATATGATCCCACCGGAAACCGAAGCAGGATTGCCGCTTTAAGAAGACTGTTTAATTGTGCCCACAAGTCATCGGCTCACCGTCCTGCGAGCCCGATGAAACTGTGCTAAGCTTTCGTCTGTACCACCTTGACGGACATCGTCAGAGCAAGATTGCATACTTTACGAAATATAGCAAAAATAAACTAAACCAGTAATTCCCAAACTGTGCTCCGCGGCGCCCCAAGCAGCCGCGGCGCTTCAATTTGAGAAAGCGTGCAGTGATTTGTAGGCTTATTTATCACATCAATGATAAAATATTAATTTAATTTTAATAAAGTAAACAAATGAATATATACGAGTTATTTATTTTTATCTCTTACTTACGAATATTCATACTTGGAGTAGGGCACCATGAAAAAATTTTAATTGAAAAAGGGCACCGCGACTAGGAAAAATTTGGGAACCACTGGACTAAACCAAGAGAAGTAGGTGGTCGGCTGCAACCATAGTCGCTTTTTTATAAACCTAGCATCGCGATCTTAATGAGGCCTCCCCTGATTTGTTTGGCTACCTCAATCTTACTCTACATTCTTGCAGTTAAGTGAAGTTACTTCCCGAACCGGAAATGCGTTCGCTGGCAACTGTTTCATCACACAGAAACTAGCGTACGATCGCCTAATGCTGAATCATGTTTGGGCTTGCGCTATTGTGTGTATGTAATGCTTATGTCATGGAAAGTACGACAGTCCCAACTAGACCCAGCCTCCTTTTCTTGCTCAGTGGCTTTTCCTGTAGCCCTTCTCTCTCCCTTTCTTTATGCCTATCCAACAGCCACAACATGTTCCTACTTCGTTTTCTACTCTCGTTCCTTCTATTCACGACGTTAGCTGTTCACTTAATTTCTATAGACTCCCTAATCTTACGTTTTGACGTGAAGTTCATGTAATCCGCAAAAAACTTTGTGTTTTGGACCAGTCTATTGAGTGCCCTGTATTGGCAAAGTGTGTTCAGCGAGCTCAGTTTTTTGGACTCACAAACCTTTACAAGCGATTTTGTGTTCGCACAGTCTCTTCTGAATTAGTCGGCAGGTCTCCCCCGCATAGACCTTACCACATGAGCAGAAAACCTTGTAGCAGCCTGCTCCAGAAAGTGGGTCTGAAAAATTCTCTAAACAAAGTAACTTCTTTTTATAAATAATTTTCTTAATAGATCACCCAACTTTTTCACATTCTGGCAGGAAGGCAAAATCAAGAAATGAGTAGAATGGTTCAGTTGTCTATCCCACCCCAGATAACAAACTCCCTTCAGCTTGTTAACGACAATTGATGTGTGATTGTCTACTAATTCTAATGGGTAATTGTTTTGAAACCGATCTCATGGTCCCTGTGGTTTTCGTCTGATCGACGCAGATTCCTTATTATCATAGACTTCATAACTCCTATTTTGACTCTATGTGTCTGGTTGGAGAAAAAATTAATAAGGAGACCTGCGTTTGTGGGTTTCCTATGCATGTCTCTACCTAACTTATTACCTGTCTTGCTCACTAATACATCCAAAAAAGGCAGTTTATTTTCCTTTTCCAATCCCATGGTAAACTTGATATTAGCACCTATTCTATTTCTTCTATTCCACTTCTTCGTACAATTCAACAGTCTTCCATACACAGCAATCGTCCATCGATTTCCAGTGAGACCACACCACGAGTTCCTTCCAACCAACTTTTCCTTTAAAATGAAAAATCATTACCCAATATATCACTATATCACTATTCTTCGAAACCCAATTTTTATTTATATCTCAATTATTTTGTCTGGTCATTCGGTCCGCAATGACACCTCATTTTGCCTCTGTGACGACTCCTAGTTCAGTGCCATCGATGACATTGCTACCTAACGATGCCGAAGAAGCGTACGAGTATTTTGTCTGTAGGATTCGGTAACGAGGCATAAAAACATTGGCAGAAGATGCAGTGCCGTGTAGTCCCCTTGAAGTATCCCTGAAAACGTGACTGAGTTTCTAAAAATAGATGGAATCGAATATGTCCTGCTACTGTCAACAAACCAACGGCTACAATTTCCAAGAAATAGATATTACCATAACTCTGACCCAACAGCTAACTTATAAAAACAAAGATCTAAGCATTATTTGATATTCTGTCTTCTATTCTCATTCTGCATGCTTTGTACTATGTCTACCGCCAGCCGGCGATAAGTCAGCCAACACACCAATCAACGTTGGTAGCCATGGGGGCCCGGCAAAGGGCTCACCTTCAGCTGACGGAGCTTCCATCACTCCGGCTGCTTCGGACGCCGTCACCGAGGCCTTGGAGCAGACAATGCAGGCAGCCAGGCTTCAGCTGGCCTCAGCTCGCGAGTTTGAGGCCCGCGGTGACAGGCTGCGAGCGATTGAGATCCTGCTCAAAATGCAGCCACCGGCATCGGGTGCATTGGCAGCCGCGGCAGAGGTTAAGGGTCATTTGCTCATCTATGAAAAGGCCTGGATACATGCCAGTCGACTTGCTGAGAATTTTCTCTCCAACGAGACTATCGAGAAAGTGTCCGAGCTTGCAGCAACTCGCCTCATGACAATCAAGGTGGGATCTTAGTGTCATATTTTTGATATAAATACTAACTATGCGCTAATAATGCTAGGTAAATTGGCTCAAGTTAGACTCCACCTTCAAAAAATGGCCTAATAGAGGGATCTTTTATGGATCTATTTATCCGTCTCATATCATTACAAAAAAATCTTTACTAATTAGAAGAATCAGTAGTATGCTGAGTTTAATGGCAAATACATAGTTGCATATCAACATAAAATGAGGTTGAGTGAGAAAGGCTAGATTCACCCTGAAAACCATACATGCCGTTTAGCAATAGATTAATGAAGATATGAATACCAAGATGGTGTGGTCTTTGGTATGGTCGCAATTTTCTTTCGATGGCTAGAAATGGACCGACCACGTTTACGCAATGTGGCTGTTTTTTCACGGCGACTTAGTTGGATCTACCTCGTCCGCAGCGTCTTCTGCAATCGTAATTCCCAACGTCGGACCGTGGAGTTGGTACATTCCGAGGCGTTTCGCCGGCATTGTCTTCTTTGGGTATTTTAAAATTAGAGTAAAGTTTTGAGACTACCAGTAAATTAGTAATATGAGATGTATTCACCCTATTTCGTCTAAGGTGATGAGCGACTGATAGTAGAATTTTCCCATTGGAAATCCAATGGAAACGTCAGCTCAATTTATATCATTGTGGGTAAATTCTACTACCAGTTCTTCATCACCTTGGACGAAATAGAGTGAATACATCTCATATTTCTTTGTGTATCTTCGGCCATCCGTAGGCTTTTAATAATTGAATTTTTCTTCCATGCGTCAAGTTCACCATTCCTATGCATATTTATCAACATGTCACATAAGATAGTAGATATGAATACCAAGATGGTGGGGCCTTTTGTGTGATCGCAGTCTCCTTTAGCTGTATAGTGTTGGTTTGACCTTGTTTTCACAACTTGTCGAAGCGTCAGGGAGACCTTGTTGAATTAACCTAGTCCATTATGTCACATAAGGCTACATTGATCTTCATAATTGAGTTATTGTTTAATACACAATAAATAGTCCTATCTCGCATTATAAATTCCACCTTCTTGATATATTGTTTTCTGTCCATTACCGCTGTCACTCCTCCCTTATCTGCTTGAAGGACTAATTATGCATTCATTTCCAAGGTCTTGCATATCCTCGAAAATCTTTTCCTGTGTGTTGGTTCCTGATTTGATAATATTCTTGAAATTATTTCCATTTCCCGTTTTGCCACCTCAGAAAACTTAACCGAAGTATTATAACCGCGACCAGGATGTATTATAGAAGGCTTTTGCCATTTTAAAGTGAAAAATGGAGTCCTTTCTTCAGGATCGGATGGGAGGCCCAAGTCGGTTTAGCAAATCTAGAGATAGGTGGGACAAGGTAAACAATAGGTGTGATGACGCCATACTAACTTCGCCATAAAGGGCACACCTATGAGGAATGAAATGTAAACTAGTCGGAAGTTGTGATATGGCTGGAGTGTGATGAGAGACTAAGAAGTAGATAAATGGGCAAGGACAGCAAGAGGAGTGATAACACCACCGTTTCAGCACAAAGTTGGTCAAGAGATTGACTTTCTTTGTCTCTTTAACGAATTGTAGCTCGGAGCGGAGAAAGGCAAGACTCACTGACGATGCCGGCGAAACTTCTTGCAATGTACCAAATTCATGTTCCGACGCTAGGAAATATGATAACTACTAAAACATGGGACTTCGGACAAGTTGCGTCCAATTAGGTAGTCCTGACGACACGATCAAGTTGCGAAAACGGGGTCAGATTACTTCTATACATCGAAAGGAGACTGCGTCTAAAATAGAGACCATATAATCCTGGTCTTCATAGCTACCTTTACTTACAAATATAGAATTAATTTCCTCTACTATTCGTTGGCTTTACAATATAGTAAATGCTATGTATCTGAACCTGTCTTAGATACTCGAAATATACCAACTCAATTGAGGGTATGAAGACCAAGATAATAAGGCCTTTAGTATGGTCGCGGTCTCCTTTCGTTATGTCGAAGTTGTTTGACCTTGTTTTCGCAACTTGGGCCTATTGTCAGGGAGGCCTGAAGGAACGCGCCTTGTCAGGAGTCCATAGTATGCATGGTAATTTCCAGAGTCGGACTGTAGACTTGGTATATTCTCAGACGAATTGTAGTTGGGTGCTAAGAATAGCAAGGCTTACTGATCATGTCGACTTTTATGCTGACGTAATGTCTGAGAATGTACCAAGTCCACCTTTCCACACAGGGAATTATGCTATCTAATATAGCAAAGGACTTCATACAGGTCGCAGCATAATGCATCTGCATGACAACACGACCAAGTTGTGAAAACAAGGTCAGCCCAATTCAATAGCTAAATGATCTGAAGTGCTTGCCTGTCCATGGTTAGAATCCCAATTAGGGTGCTGATCAAATGGCGAGGTGAGGTTGAAAGTACAGTTATTATGGACGAGGACGGCCAGTTTATATAAATGACAAGGAGTATTTGACCGCATATATCAAAAATTCTCTAGAATTCGTCGTTGGTAAGCTCATTAATCGGGCCATAGTAAAGCAGTCTAAACTGATATACTCAGAAGTCTAGTCGTCGAACAATGTGCAGTGATACCGTACTGGATTGCTCAAGGTTCTGACTAGTATGTCTCAATAATAAGCGTCGAAGTTATGAGGGGTGTCTGACAATAGAAATCTAGTTTTTAATGCAATCATTTTAATGACACTAAGGGCGCGTGTGAGTAGGTCTCATTTTGATGGTGGCGCATTCCTTGATTGAACTTGATAGATGATGGATTTCTTTACGCGCAAGGCAATAAAGACTGCCGAATTAATCAGATCTCACAGAAGCAATGCATCCGACTTTTGGCTCTTATTTTGCAAGCCATCCTGTATCTATTCAGTGCAGTTTTCATAGATTGGGTACAAATATACTTGGTCATATATGCAAAGATTTCGTTTGGTGATTATGCTTATGATGAGGTGAAGTGTAGGCTTGCATCAAAATTCAAGGTCATTCGCAACCAGATGTGGATTTCAGGCCTATGTGACCCGTTCACTCATACGACCCAAACCGTGGAGTTTTACAGTGGAATTGTATCAGTTTTGTGATGCGTGGCGCAGCGGAGTTCATTGTAATCGTCAAACCTTCTATTCTACCAATCAGAGGTAGAGTGCGAAAACATGCAAAAACTGGCACCTGTCGACAGGCTTCGATAGATTAATGCAAACATTTATAAATTCT